AAATGAGGCACTTTTTTTTATAACAGCAGACCACAGGCGTAAGCTATTCCTTATGCTCTCTGTTTCTCTTTGCAGCTGGTCTGGGTGGCCACCTTCATCCTCACCTTGCTGTTAAACCCTGACATAGGACTGGCTGCATCCATTGGTTTCTCCTTGCTTACTGTCATCTTCAGGACACAGCTGTAGGCACACTTTGCGTTGGGTTATGTATATATTCACAATTAATTATGTTTTTTCACAACCATGTGGTCTGTCCTGACCAATGTGTTCATGTCAGCATGTCAGCACAACTTCACTACGAGTACGCAAACAAGACATGTGCACCAAAAGAAAACAATAGCTGCTTTTTTTGTTACTGGTTTGGTCCTCAGCTTGCCAAACAGCCATACACAGCACTATCTTATTTACACTTCCCTCTGTAAACATGGCCTGCACGTATCTATGTATCTATATATATACATACATAGATATATATCTATATCTATATCTATATCTATCTATATATATAGATATAGATATAGATATAGATATAGATATAGGGAAGTGTCCAGTTGAACATTAAAACTCACTACAATTCAAACTGATTAATGGCCTACAATGGTCTATTAATGGATTAAAGCATTAGAAATTGTTAATTAAGGTTTTCTGTGTGTGACTATTTCAGACCTAAATATTCCATACTAGGGCAGGTCCCTGAAACTGACATTTACAAGCCACTGGACGAATACCATCAGGTACAGAACAGCTTCTTTTTTTTTTTGCTTTTTAAATCAACTGAAAATGGAATGGAAAATGAGCACTGGTACAGAAATGAACAGCACGTTTTTAGTGTAGTTACTCTGATATCATACTGATACTATATAAAATGTCTTCTTTTATTATTATTTCAAAATTTCAGTTTAGCAAGTCCCAGTAGTCGACCATGAAATACTTTTTCTAATCACATTACATCTCTGTACTTTAAATAGTGTTGTATTATCAAGTTTTAAATATCATTTTTCAAAGATGAATTACTTAATAAGTGTTGTTTTTATTCTGTCAGAATTTTACTTGGTTTGGTCATTGATGAGGAAAGCATGGATATGTAACAGATGAAATAATGATGAAACAATGAACTTTTTTCTCACAGCAGTTTAGTTTTTGTAGTTCCACAAAGAGAGTTTAACAAAAACTACAAATTCCTCATTGGCTGGGATGTAAATTTAAGATGCTTCCTGCTTTTTAGTTCGTTAATTTTACTTAAAATAATTTAAGTAAAATTACCATTGGTAGCTTATGCCCAGTGGATGGTGATCAGGGGTGGAGGCCCAGTTTACAATGAGGTATGCTGCAGTTATAGGGGCATCACAAACAGCCTTCCTAGGAAGCTCTACGCCGGGGTACTGGAGACAAGATTTCATCCATTAGTCGAACCTTGGATACAGGACATTTGGTACTCATACAATAATAGTGAGAGGTTGGCCTGTGTTACCACCAACAAATCAGACCATTTCCTGGTGGAGCTGGACTCCATTCACGATAGAGGGAACAAGTTGGATGTTGTACCAGTCTGTTTTGGTTAAGCGGACTATTTAAAACAAGCTACATTCACACCTTCACCTATGGCCACAACCTCTGGGTAGTGACCAAAAGAATGAGATCACTGATCCAAGCCATGGAAATGAGCTTTCTTAGACATGGGATGAGGTTTTGTGATATTTAGGGGATTTTATTAACTAAAATGAGCCAGTTGTTGAGATAGTTTAGGCATCTGACCAGGATGCCTTCAGGACATATGGTAAAGTGAGGTGTTTTAGGCAAGCTTCAGGACCTAGAACACACTGGAGAGAATTCACTGGCATGGATGGATGGATGGATGGATATATTGATATTAGATAAATTGCTATGAAATTATGAACAAAAATCCATATATCTGATTGGACAGGTGTAACCTTTACTTCATACTAAAGCCATAATGGAATGTTTTGATTGATTAGCCTGTTTAATCCATTCGATTTCAGGTGAGGCGAGTGCCAGGGATTTTGATCTTCCGTTCCTCTGCCACCCTCTACTTTGCCAATGCAGAGATGTACCAGGAAGCCTTGAACTCAAAGGTGAGAACACAGATATCCTAAACCGAAGCTTCAAACCAAATCTTAATCCTAAAAAAAGTTTTTTTTAAAAAAGTGACAAGAAAATGTCTTTTAAAAACATCATTACTCTTAAATTCTCACAAAGAGCACAAATTAACTTACGTGGGTGCATTCACCCCCAAAAGACCATAAAGCCAAAAACAAAACACAGTATCAGTTTACAAAGCACAGCATGACATACTAAAAGCTCAGATTTAAATGAATACACAGAAACAGCACACCACAGCTACACACACACACACGGAGAAAAAGAAGCAACCAAACACATCATGTCGCCGTTTCCGTGCAATTAACTCCTCTTTTAAAAACATGATTTCTGACACACTAATAGCCAACCAGACTTGTCACCAATTCACACATCACAACTGTGACAGACATTGTTCGCAATGTCATTCTCTTCTCTCATTTTTTTCCCCGCTCAGCTTTTGTTTAAAACACCCCATCCCACTCGCTCCTACGCTTTCTTCCTGCCCCTCCTCTTCTGTCACACCGCTTTGGGGTCAGTGGGAAGACAGACAGAGGGAAGTTGGAAATAGGATGACAAAAGATGCGGAGAGGGAAGGCACAGACACTGAATAAGAGAAGGAGATAATGGAAATGTTTCATTCATTAAAATGTCAGCATGTCAAAGTCAAAGGGTTGCTTTCATGCACAAATAAGCTCTTGCTGAGCAGTCTGGCAGAGGCTGCACGTTTGTTTCGAAGGTGAGACAGACTCAGGTGCTTTTGTGACACCAGTTCTGACGCGTTCTCAAGAAATGTACGATTACTCCCTGCATGTCCTCACCGGCACTAACGAAGCTCATGAGCCATGCTGTTATAGGATTGTTACTACTCCAACTAGTGATGTCATTCAGCACAAAATTCCACACAGAAAAGCCCCAGCAATCAAGCCCAGGACCTTGTTGCTGTAGGCTAACAGTCCTAACCACTGGACACTACACTGCCCACTTTGAGAATCTTGTTATATCAAAGTATACAACAACGGGAAAGAAATAGCCAAAGTATGTCCTTATATACTTTTTACTCAGTTTTACTCTTGATGTTAGAACTATAATTTTGGGCCAGGCTCGTAACATGAACGTTACAATTTACTCCTGTAAAAATAAGTCATATATAGCAAAGGCCAAGCCTCATAAAAATGCAGTGCATGACACTAAGATACACACTAAGTTACATTCTTTGCCATGCATTCGAATTACAATTTGCTAGAAATATAAAGGATCATCATTTAAATGAAAAATAAAGTTGGATCAGGCATGCCCAATTTTGTCTTTTTCTCTACAACAAGTTCCCTCTTTTCTTTTCTTTTCTTTT